TTTTTGTTTGCAGCGTTTCTTTTTTGTTTGCAGCATTTCTTTTTCTTTGCAGTGTGTCCCTTGTGGGCCATCGCACCTCACCCTACTTCCGTTACATCTGGATCCCGCTGATGACAGCGGAGTAGTGATTGGCTTACCTGTCTGGCAGTCGGCACCTTCAAAGATTTGAGGGCACGTGCAATTGTAGCTATTTACGAAATCAAAACATGTACCGCCATTTTGACACGGATTGCTTACACATTCATCGATTTCTGAAATGTATTAATGAAGGCAATTTTACCAGGTGTATATATTCCTAGTGTTTCATTTAATAGTTATTCAAGCTTCAATAAAATTGTATTGGTCCATATGAAAATACAATTGTATTGATTGGCAGATGTGTATATAAAAAATATAAATATAGTAAATGCCAATAATTCTCAACAAGAAGACAAGATCGGTACATAAAAACATACAAATGACAATGAAATTAAAAACGAACAACTTTAAAAATGTATAAATGTGGCAAAAAATTATTATTTAAAACATCATAAATGTTAAAACTATTTGAAGACAACAAATTAAAATATATCATGTCTACCGTATCTTAATGGTGAAAGGTCCCTTAGGCTTACTAATGTTATAGTATATAAAAATATAACATATATATAATGTTTACATAATTATATGTTCGCACTTACCTTGAGAACAATTATTTCCTGTGTAACCCGGGTCACAAGTACAATTGTAGAAATTAATGAAATGAGTACACGTTCCAAATTCACCACATGGGCTGCTCAAGCATTCGTCGATATCTTTTGAAAGATAAAGAAGAAAGTCAATAAACAACAATGTAATAATAGGTAAGAAAGAGGCTGTGGAAAAGTGTGTATTTATGTTTGTATATCTACTAAATATTCATGTCATTTTAAAATTCGTGTTTAATTTATGAAAAGCTAGACGAACTGATCTGACTTCCGGATACAGGTATAAGTTATAGAAACCACTTGCCCTCTGAGTATTTATTTCAGTGTATTGACATTTATATATGAAAATGTTTCCTAAATGTGAAACCCGAGGCAGTATACAAGCTAGCCGCATATCTCAGTTGGTAGAACATTTGATTTTCCGGAGTGTCAATCAACTTAAATTTTAATTTCAATTTTTTTCAGTGCTACGAATGCCATCAAGGCCAATATCCGCAAAAACTACACATTGCACAAAAGCACACAAATTAAGGTGGGGTCAATTGAAAGGGAATGTGACAATGTAATTGAGAATTGAGTAGGGGAGAAAAGAGGAAGGAAACAAAAAAAAAAATCAAACCAATGAAATTTAACAACTGACCAATCAGAACAGGGCCAAGAATACACGCACGCATCCTACAAACTCACATGTTGCCCCACAAACGCACACGTTTGTGGGACCTTAGCAACTATATCCAAGGGGTGGAGCTTAGCAGAAAGGTTCAATGAAATTTATGGGATGGTATTGGGTTTAGATTCCGATGTTTCCATGTCCCCAAAAATATTTTATTTTAATCATTTTAACCAATCTTAATCTAATCTAATCTAATCATATTTATTTATATAGCGCCTTTAACAACTGAGTAATAATATACAATACCGGTAAGTTCTATCCACGTATTGTTTAACATGTTAATATTCATGTAATGAACAGGTACCTCCATATCTTATAATTTATAAGGATATGCGCTCTTCATAAATAAAGTCTACGGATTGGGTCAAATGGAAACAATCAAATGAACTCATCTTACCTCTATTGCAAATATCGCCTTCGTAGCCAGGGTAACATGAGCACGTATAGAAACTCTCTGTTGCAAATCTGTTGATGCAGTTCCCGTTTACACATGGGTTGCTCAAGCAAGGTCCCGTTTCTAACGCCATAGAACAAATTATTGGTAGTTCGTCAATAGGAACACAACAATACGTTCATGATATATAGCTAACTTTTTATTACTGCTGTAACTATATTATTATTCATTGGTAATATTAAAACATGGCAGTGGTTATTGTTACACCAGTCTTAAACCAATCCTTAATTCTAATTGAATATTATGGACTGGATTTGGAAAATATGAATTAGGAATTGATTGATAATTATTGCCTAAAGATAATCATTTACTATACTTAAAATATATAGACTCTTACCATTGCCGCAATTGTATCCTAAGTAACCAATCGGGCACGCACACAGAAAGCCATCATTTTGGTCGATGCAAGTTGCACCATTCAAACACGGTGAAGAAGCACACTCGTCGATGTCTAAAAGGAATAACATACAATACACAATAAAAAAAATAGCCATGGGCCCTCTATAATATCAGTAATATATCATGGCACAGTAAAGCCATAGAATTGTATTGTGGTACAATATATATTTTTAACGTTAAAGAAGGGGATCTGCTAAACAAGTTGTCCCGAGATTCACTTGACCTCAAAGGCGTTGTGGAAATTCAAGCATAATATAAGTAGAAATTGCATCATTTTCATTTTTTCACCTTTATCTGACGTCACAATTTTAAAAATAACGCTAATACTGCTTCTGACAATACTGCCAGATGTATAAGATATGCGCTCTTCTGCATTATTTTTAGCATATACACATTATATATATATTATATATTTAATGCTAAGTGATGAGAGACAAACTATTCTATGCCAAATTGTAATTATTATATATTATTAATTGCGGTATATACCAAGTTCACATCGCGTTCCGTTAATTCCAGGAGGGCAGTCGCAGTACTGGGTGCCGTCAGTAGCTATTCGGCACGTCCCTGAGGCGCACTGAAGCATAGTTCCATCCGACGGGCATTCTGTGTCAGTTTCTGCATAAAAAATATAAACATAAATATATATATATATTCATTAATCATGATACACAGTTGCTAAAATATGATGTAAAATTATATATATATATATATATATATATATATATGTTTATATATATATATTTTAATGTTTACAATAATGTATCGGTATTATATTAATAATTCATAATTTATTTATCTGAAATCAAAAATGAGATGGTATACGATAACCGAAAGCCACAACTACAGTTTTAAAATCGGGTCAACTGTACTTCTACTTTTAATTTTTCATCCACATTAACTAGATAAATACTATCTAAACAAATCGTTTGTATTTTAAATTCATTAATCATGATACGCAGTTGCTAAAGTATGATGTAAAATTATTCTTACAAACTGTTCAAATAAATATTATGAATGAATTAAATAGGCCTACACAATGAGCTATGTTGAGCATCTGTAGCTTCGCCTAAAATATCTCCAAGATTCCCTACAATAGAAGCAACAGTGTGTCTCGTAATGTAAGGTGGAATAGATGTCTTTGGAGCAACCCCAGTTTGTTTGAGGAAAGGCCAATGTAGAGACGCATGATAAATAGGGGGATATCAATGCAGCATCATAAAATAAAACAAAAGTGAACAATATAAGTATAGGATAAAAGAGGCAAACTGACGAAGGGCTGGACATGTGGCACGGATGAATGATACAAGGGGCATCAACAGAACGAGGACAAAAGAAAAGAAGCAATGAAAGAAATGGAAGAATCATGACAAAAGTAATGTCCGACTGAAGCAAGCAATGAATATGAACATTTAATAGAAATAAAAGACATTAAAGAGGGGGGGCCAGAGGCTAGGACCTTCCCCGTCGGGGAGAGCTTCCCCCACCCCCGATCAGTATTTTTTACATATTTCTTGGACTCTAAAAACGAATAAAAAGCCTTTAAAATCCTTATATTGTCATAGTGTAGTCGGGTCCACTTTCGCTTTTGTCGGGGATATCGACCCTCTAATCGAAAACGCTGGATAATCCCCCCCCCACTCCTACGGTCGAGCTAATCCTGGCGCCACCACTGAATTAAAACTATATATTACTCTTTCTAATACACCTCTTAAAATAGACAGTTGCTTATAAATTGGTATGGGCATCTTAACTGGATTTGTTATTATTCGCACTGAAATTTCATATTATCTTGTACACCGTGATTCCCCTATCTGTAGTGATAACCATCGTTAAAAACACAATTTATCTTGCAAAATCTTAGCAGAATTTAATCAATTATTGAGAAATGTATCATGAAAATGTAATCGCTATAGGATGTTCATTAAACTATCAATGACAGTCGCCCACACTTTAGACGGGAATCTAACCTATTTATCAGAGAAAGCATTGTATACACACAATATTTGCACGAAGGGTGCAACCTGTGTATTTGAAGTCCAAATTAAGTAGCTCCCATTGAGTTTGGAATATTCAGTTACAAACATTATGACAAAGGGTGTTTGAATTGAGGGCCATACCACAGTCACTGAGCCAATAGACAGTTTGAGATCGAGACATAAACGTAGTCGAGATTAATGCCCCAGGCCAATGATTTCCATGTAGGTGGTACCATGGTACCATTACGTTACGTCTTCTGTACAAAGATACTGTACATAGAAGAATAAGTTCGGTACAGTAGAACTTTATTAAGGGGACACCTTCGGGTCCACACAAGTGTCCCCTTAATAAGGGTGCCCCCAGAATACGGATTAACTATAGTGTTAAAAAGGTATATTTATCTCCCTTTGCGGCCAAAAAATGTGTCCAATTAATAGGGGTGTCCCAAATGAGGGGTTCTACTGCAGTGTCAAACTAAATCGTATACTAATTTGTGTTAGCTACTGTTAAGATTAATCATCGTATAATATAATTGATAAAGAATTATGCCAAGTACATACTTATAAATAATTATATGAATCCGTGAAACCCATTCAAGTAACACTTTCAAGTACAATCTGATTATGTCAATAACAAGTTCACGATCGATACATCAAAACATCACAGACTACGTCAACGCTCATCACAGACTACAACAACGGTATCCATGCGTAGATACGTCACTAATATTATTATATGATGTTTACTATCTTTGGTAAAGGTAATGATTTACAACGATACAGTAGGTCGACATATGCACATCAACGTGTAAAACGTGTTCAAATTACACAACACAGTTTCGAATAATTATCAGATAATATAGGCCTAAAATGTAATACAAACTGGAGATACTTCCTAGACTTTAATGGGCCTACTCCCTACCTACATTTACCTGGTCAAGTACTTTCACAGTTGTCAGAAGTGGAAAACCCAGACCCCACTCTGATCTGTGTCTAGGACAGTTAAATAGTTTAGAAAGTCGAGACGGACTAGATCAATCACCCTGGTGTCAATAGGCCCACCAGGTTGTCCAAGAAAAAACATTAACATTGTAAAAACTCAATTTTACAATAAAAAAAAAGCATAATTATATATAATTATATATATATATATATATATATATATATATATAGACCTATATAACATATATATATACGTTATATATAGGTCTATATATATATATATATAATACATAAATCAAGATAGCCGTTAACACTCTTACATTATAAAGAAATCATCAAAGAAAAGTAAATACAGTGTTCGAACATATACATATATATATATATGTATATATATGTATATATATATATATAATTATGCATTACGTATTGTCTTACAAAGTATCGTTTTTCCAAAAATGTAAAAAGTAGAGTTTTTAAAATTTAAGGAATTTTACTTATTAAAAGATATATACATATCTTCAAAACGTTATGTATTTATAATAGCTTCCGGTACAGGATATGCAATTTTACAAAAGTGAAAACAATTACAGTATTGCATAACTAAAATGGCTTAAGAGACCTATCTTCTTTTATGATCCGTGACTTTTACGGTCCAAAAATATGGAAAACTCCTAAAAAAAGGTCAAATAGAACATCGAATAGCTCATCTAATACAAAGATAATAATCCATTAACTTTTTGAAACAAATCAGGTTTTTGATGAGTTACAGACAACTAAGGTATTCAAGATCGTCCTAATGTTAGATATGTTCACCAGCGAAACCTGGGAAAGGCAGTATGGTGCACTTATGACCATTCAGGTTATGGGCCTATGTGGTCGGAGTTCGAGCCACACGTTGACCAATTTAGGCCGGCCATGCTTAGATTGGATACTGTACCCAAGCTTCCACTGTTGGCGGGCTGTGAAGTGGCCCAGGCTATGTTTCAGCCATAGGTGCGAGTAATAATGGCACATAAATAAAAACATTGTGACCACTTCTCATCATTAATGATGGTAGTATTAGGCCTATTATAACAAGATTTAAAATTATGACTATGGCTAAAACACCTTGGCTAAAATGTCCTTAAATTTAAGCGTCGGTGTAAATAATACGTATACTTAAATCGGAAAATATTTTCCATTATAGGCCTAATTTTTAATTGACCTAATACAATGTACCCAGCAATTGTTTTCCAAGATTGTTAGAGTAATACAGACAATATCGAATATAGGTAAAAGTATTAACGTGGCGAATTGGCCTGTATATAAGATAGAAATGCTAAATATAAAATTTAAATGTACTCACGCGATGAGACGAACGTATAACCAAAGGTAAATACAAGAATGAAAAGTGTATACTTTGGGCCAAGGATGGCCATGGCAGAAAAGTACAACTTTTTGAATTTGCTGATATAATGGTTTATTTTTCGTTATTATAAACACATGAAGCTGACTATAGCAACTTTGAAGACGGTAAGCAGCAGGTAATTCCTGACTTTATGTCTTATATTTAAACAGTAACAGGACTTTGAACAACAATTGGGCAATACCAACCGGGGGTTGCACCATTTACTCGAAGGGTAGCACGGAGCAAGTCATACGCTTGTGCACTGCTGATAAAATCACGATGACAATGACTTATCAAGCAGAAAAATGTCAGGTATTTTAGGGCTGATATCAATGTTTTTTAAATCAAGATATTATAAAACAATATTTAAGAAAAAAATATGATGATGTCGTTAGAATCAATGTTGCATTGAGATTATTGTTAAAACTCCAAACAATGACATTTAAATGTCAAAAACTTAAAAAAAAAGTTTGTACACAATGCTGTCAAGGATGTCTGGCCCATGTTTGTATATCCTCACATATCAGTTTTACATACGAGAACATAATGATAAGACCGAACATTTCCGAGTGGTGGCACGACTGATTAATTCATGGTTTGTTGTCATGGCACACCTTTAATGTCTTTTATCCTACCATGGACCTATTAAGGTCCATGGTCTACAAAACATTTGGCTTGATTAAGAGAGGTAGCCCTACGTGCCATAGTTAGTTGTATTCCACGAATAGTCAATGGTCATGTATTTATATAGCGCCTTCCACAGAAAAAAAACCGTCTCGAGGCGTTTTCATTTTACATCAACTAGGGCCTAACTACAAAAAACAAGTCTGTAATATAAAATAATGAATTAGGTTTATCATTTTCTAGTACTAACATTATTGTCAGTTCCCAAATCTGGCCTGTCCTATTGTCTAAAGAAGCGTTTGCTATAGGTGACTACATTGCTTAACAATGGCTCAGAGCTTCAAAGGAGCTTTGATCAGTTGAGTAAGAATGCTTTGATCTTTAGTTTAAATCACTGTTATATGACCTAATAGAGATAATGTTTTGATTGGTTAAACACTTTTAGTATTTGTGCATATAACCTTGTAAATATAGATATTTTTTTCAATCCTGATGATGACATAATATTGAATCCCGACACGATGGCGTACATTTCAATGCTTAGAGTACGGTAGTCAATGTATAATACTTTGTATTATACTTTTCTTCTTATTACCTGAGATTAATCAGTGGACATTTCGGTTGATAATAGAATGTTTTGAATGATGTTGCTTCCATTGTTTACAATCATTTAGGGGGAAGATTATTCTAGATAAAACATAAACGCTGAGGCGTTGGGGAGGGGGCTATTTATTTGAGCGGGGCGTTTATTCGAATAAAATACGGTAACTTCTATATTCAGCTCTACAGCTAAAACACAAAGAAAGTGAAAACAAGTAGGAGCCGTATTAGTCTATAGCATAATTATAGTATTTTATTTTTATTTTTTAAATTTTTATTTCGAAAATCATCCAACAGCGGAAGCCAATTACAGGATGTCATACAATACATATAAATATATATAAAAATACAAACAAGTGTAAGTTATTGATTAATAACATTACAGTAAGAAATGGAATAAGAAATTTACAAAAATATGGCGAAAAATTACATCTTAAGCTAAATATTGCAGCTTCAAAAAAATACAGATAAAAATCCAGAAAAATAAATAACAAACAAAGCAAAACTAGTAACTAATTAATAAAATTACATTAGAAAATAGGAATTGGTAAAATTTTTTATATAAATATTGCGAATAACATCTTAAGCTAAGAATTGCGGATACAAAAAAAAAACCAGTAAAAGTACAAATAAAAATGCAGACATACAAAAACAGATAAAACGCAGATCCAACAAAAGCACACAAGCAAGACAAAACAGTCAAATACAAAGCCAGACAAAACAGAAAAGAAGAAAATACATAAAAATACCAACAGAACACAAAACAAAAAAAAATAAAGGAGTTAACCCACCCAGAAAATAAATCGCTTAGGTATTATGAAGTATAGATTGCGATAAGCTGCTTTTGAATGAACTAAGGCTCTGGTGAAAAATATCGATTAATGTAAAATTATGAGAAAGGTTACCGTATTAAATAAGAGGGCAAGACGATGAATAAAACCGTTTCTAGTGCAATTGACTCTGTTGAAGGGAACCAAAAATAGGTCCTTGAGACGAGAGCCGGGTCTATTGGTCTTGAGAGGGAATAAGGAACATAAAGTAGTATCAAAAATGGAATTAACACATTTAAAAAGAAAAACCATGTCAGATATATTTCTCCTTTCACTAAGTGAGGGAAAAGTGTATGAAACAATATTATCATTTTTAAAATTGTGATTTATAAAATATACAAATTTAGACTGGACTCTCTCAATCCGATAGGCTTGTGAAACAGAAACAGAATTATAAATAACACTGGAATAATCAAAAATAGGTCTGACTAAGGCAATGTAAAGATGCAATTTGGTTTTTTGGTCGAGGGTTTTACAATGACGCCAAAATACTCCGAGCAACCGGTTACCTTTGCTAACAATGGCATCAACATGTTGGTTGAAATTAAGTTTTGAATCCAAAAGAATACCAAGATCTTCTTGTACGTAAACTTTGCTAATACAAGTACCATCAAGATTATAATTAAAAATAAAAGGAGATTTTTTAAGACTAATAATCATGACGACACATTTAGTGGGATTGAGAGAGAGAGAGATTCCAATCAGCTGACCATTACAGCCTATTAAGATCATCTTGAAAGGCTACGGCGTCATTTATATTCGTGACCATGTGGAACAGCTTCAAGTCATCAGCAAACATTAAACAATGTGAATTTTTAAAAATAGAAGGGGCGTCATTAATGTACATGTTAAACAAAAGCGGGCCTAAAATTGAACCCCGAGGCACTCCGGATGTGACAGGCAACCACTCTGACGCAGCACTTTTATTGAAAATGTGGGTAAGAGGTGCAGACAGAGATTTAGCGCAATATTTAAGAACTTCGTTACTTAGCCTGTCACATCCGGATGCCTTATGGGGTTGAATAGCTTGAAGAAGCTGTTCCAAACGGTAGGAAAAACTTGAACAGTTGACAGCAAATCAACTGGATAATCTCTTAGCTCGGGATAAAAGAAAAAATGTTCGTTGTTTAATAGTTTAATAGTTTAGTAGTAATGAATTGTTTAATAGTTTAGTAGTAATAATATAGTAGTAATTGATCCTGTGATCCAGACATAAATCTATGGCCTATCCATGGATACGGACTACCAATGAAAGATACATCAGCAGGAACGTCCTGCCATGGATACCTTCTGGCTTTAACAATGTAAACATACGCTGACCACCTTAGTTTGCTGTAGATAGATATAGGCAAATTTGTGATAAACGATTAGAAGAGAGTATCAGTGTGTAAATTTTTGAAACTAATTAAAATGAAAAATATTATTTTTACGATAGACAACACTAAATAGTAAAATAATAACGATACAGATTAGTGGAGTCTGTCTTTCAGAGGCATAGTCTGTCCTTACTGGTGCTAAATCTCTCAAAAATGAAACCCTGTAAGGCATGGCTGCTTTTATCTTATTTTGGGAGGTCTGAAGTTCAGAAATCTAATTGCGATTTCTTGTCAATATACAAGTCGTAATGTATACCTACAGATTATATACAGGCAGTTTCAGATACCAATTATACAATAATGCATGTATAATAATTAACTATTATTCTGATAAAAACCGCATCTCACTTGTAAGTGGCGGTCGACCAACGAAGTATGGTTGACTTGTAAGGAAGATACAAATTCAGCAATCGGCTTAATTTCTACCCCTGTATGCATAACCTGCCGGATTCATGGTAAAAATCTATCAGGGAAAATACTTAGAATAATTTTCTAAGTTAGACTCATCTGCCATGAGAATGCCATTTCGGACATCCAGAGCTGACAACTTAGAAGTAAAATCAACTCCTATGCCTAGGCTATATGGATATGAACGAACATAAACTACAAAAAATTTGATACAGGCCATCGTGCTGAGATTCAATATTTCGACTCTTTATTGAGTCATCATCAGGAAAGAGTCAAAATATTAAATACCAGCAAGATCGATGGCGTGTATTTAATTTCTTGAGGGTAGGCCTATGTAGGCCTATTATGTTTACGTATTTGAAACTAATCAGTAGGCCCTCTGGTGTATGGCATACATCCATATAACAAATTAAGTTTCCTATGTTAATGGAATACATCGTAATAAAATTAATATACAAACGGTGTGTTTCTTTTTTTTTTATTATTATTATTATAATATAAATCCATACAAAACATCATTAAACTTTTAAAATACGTTTACCATACCAACCTGAGCACAAGGAACCATTAGGTGTATCATCATTTCAGAAAATATTGGTTAATTTTTTTCATGTTTGATTGGTTTGACAGGAAATCAAACAATTTATTTAAAAAAATTATCATTTTGTTCCTTAACTTCCGACATCTATCGCAGTCCCACTTTTAAAACTCGCGTTCAGGGAAAGGATGAAATCCAAGGTCTTAATTCGTGTTCTGGCCGCTAGATGGGGCCATTTAGATTTTCATTCATGTAAGCTAATTAAAGAGTAGGTCTATAACTACAATATTGGACCTGTACTTTTGAAGTGTTTAAAATTTACCAACAATAGTAGTGAAGATTTACCAGATCTCCTTGAATAAAGTGTTCCTCTACATGGCCGGCGGAACGTTTTTCAAAGTGGGTGGGGCGGGGGGGGGGGGCACAATAGTAAGATGAATGAGAGCATGAATAAGGGGATTTGGGTTCAAATTTAGATGGTGGTGGGGGTCAAAAGTTTTCCCAAAAAACCGCAAAAAGGAAGGGGAGTCCGGGGGTCCTTTCCCTGAAAATTTTGATTTCTAGAAGGCGGTTCTTCAAAATTTCAATTCCCCCACTTGAAAATGATCAGGTAAGCTTTCTCATTCTTATTACAGTAAACTATAGGCCTGTAACGTGTAACACAAAAAAATTAGTAGTTGCATACATAGGCCTATTCTTTTTTCCATGAACCGATAAACCCCAAAGAGAAAATGGGGTCCGGAGTTCTCTCCAGGGAAATTTTTCAAGGTTTTCCCCTCTTGAAAACGGTCAGGTAAATTTTTCTCATTCTCTATTACAGCTATAGGCCTAAGCCTTACATCTGTATACAATACAATACATTAAAAAAAATGAGTACCGGTAGTTGAGGTGTCTTTTAATGACTTTTAAGTTCTTCAAAATTCAAGGTTTCCCCCTCTTGAAAACGATTCCATGAATCAATTAACCCCAAAGAGAAAGGGGGCGGGTTCGGGTTCTAAATGGCGGGAAATGAGCTTTGCCGAATTCGAAAGTGTTTTTAATGACTTTTAAGCTCTTCAAAATTCAAGGATTCCTCGCTGGAAAACGGTCAGGTAAATTGTTGTCATTCTTATTACAGTAAATAGGCCTTATGTAAATACAGTAGGCCTAAATACATAGGCATCGTTGCATACGTATTCTTTTTTTCATGAATCGATGAACCCCAAAAATAAAAGGGGGTCGGGGTTCTTCCTCGAGAAAAATTTGATTCCTAGATGGCGGGAAATGTGCTTTCCCGACTTTTAATTTTCTTAATGTAACAAAAAAAAATCATGCTCTACTGTTGTTTTGATTATTGTAGGCTTTAGGTCTAGGCCTACTTTGTTGTAGTGTCGTGTTTACAGTGGATGGATGGTGTAGCGCTTAGCAGCTTTGGAGAAAAATCACCGTTTACATTATTAGGCCTACCAATTGATATTTTTATTTCTTCAATCAATATTCTCCTTTCTCTGGATTTGGATTACAATTTGCCACAAACCTAGCAAAGTGATTTATCCAGGTCTAGGCCCATATAAATGGGTTACAACAGTAGTTCCCTTTCAACCTGGTTCAATGAGCTCTTCTTCTGGTGACAGTAGTGGCCTACAGTTCTGGTGTATTAACTGAACTATAGTGGGTGGTAGGCCTGGACCATCTCAATTGAATAAAAAGATATTTACACAATTGTTACCTCGAAATTCTGTGGGTTTGCAGGGCCGTATCCACAATTACACCATTTGTGTGTCATTTTGTAGATTCAGCCTGACTGCTCCTCTCTCTAACTGAAACCTATGCCTATATTACACACTGTGCGCCCGACACGATTTCTTGAAGACCGACGAGGCGCACGCAATGACGGTTTTTAGTGAAATCCGGTTTAACACTTTCATTTCTAAATCCGAAGACAGTGTTTTCAGTGATGGGACACGTCCAAAATATCTGGTCCAAACCGGAAGTTCGCATCGCCGATCGTTTTTTTTCCCTTTTTTTTCAGTCGCCTGTCTTGTGTGGCGATTGATCGTTTTCTCCAGTCCAGTCTGTGGACATTTTCCGAGTTGGGGAAACTCCTCCCTCTCTCCCCCTCCCCCATCCTTTCTGCGGTCCTTAGTGTCTGTGTACATTGCACTTGAATGGATTAATTTTACTCTAAATCAAGTTTTTATATTCAGTGGAAACATTTGTATCAGCAAGAATCTATACACATCTAAAGCCTGGTTTCCATAGAATCGCTACACTTTCGCTGTAATCCTTGTACTGCGTAGCTGATGATTTCATTGACCAATCGGCGTCGCCAAAGAAGTCGGCGATAGCTTTTAGCGATTTTTATGAAAAAAAAAACCAGGCTTAACTTTAACAAGATGATGTATCGCATATGCTAAGGAATTGTTCAAAATAGCATGATTGAGTTTGAAATTTTAAATATTCTAAATATAAACACAATACAGTAAAATAAACTCCTAAGAAAAAACGTGGAAAACCCGGAGCTTCTAAATTGATAATGTGTGTACTCGTTCCAAAGTAATTCTAAATTAAATAAGCCTAATAAAGAATTCACTACATTCATCATATAGGCCTAAAAAATAAAAAATAAAATAGGCTGTTATCATGTCACGGTAACTTTTACCATTCAAGTTTTCAAATTTTTTGGTTTGGAAAAAAGAAAATATTCTATCTTTTCATATAGGCCGCGCCTCAAATAACTTCGTTGCAAATGTTGGAGGCAAGTCACACTCACGCCGAATTCTTTTATTATTTTTTTGGGCACCACGAAAATCCAAATTCTTCGCCTATAGGCCTATCTATAGAGGGCCTAACCTGTCCCATCCTCTGAAGCCTGAATAGAAATTAAAATATAGTTCAGGATATGACAATACTATGCTATATTCCAAAGACTTTGTAATATCCTGATGGCTTTATTTGATAATTTCACCCCTTTGTAGCCGGCCTACAGTAGTAGACTTCAGGTAAAATAGTGCATGTAGGCCTACAGTAGACCGGTTTTATTTAACGTGTGTTATGAAATTAGACAGGACGACATCACAACAGTCAAATCGTAGACAGTAAAACGGCCGCAGAAATGCATAACTATACACAGGCTACAACAAGGGAAGAATGGGACAATTGGTGAACAATGCAAAATGTTTCAAGTATTAACAAACATGTATTGAACGATTACCTTGTAACAGATCTTTTTTTTAATATTTTTTTAAAGTCAATAATTATTTCGATTTATGAAGGAAATTTGCTTTCCACTCGGACCTATATGGCTAATTGGGACCGGGATATGAAGAGCATGAGAATGTCATCATCAGCGTTGTAATAATTTTGATACCAGCAGTCGGCCCCAGGCATCCTCTGTGCTAAACATGCTATTTGGCCAGGGATTTCACTGTTCCCCTGATTTGGCCAATTACAGTAAAACATTAGGTTAAAGTTAACAGTTTGCTTCAAACATATTGTGGCTTAAAAACAAATCGACACAATGTTATCTAAAACAACGAAGAAGTAAACGGTATTTCTTGCAACCTATTAGATCAATTCGAACTAAATGGCGCGGTGTCACCATACTGTAAATAAAAATGCAATTTTAAAGGGCGCGTGATGATGCTGCATAGCGCCAACTACAGTCTCTGCAACACCTTGGAATTTGGAAACATGATCGGATCATGGAGGGATTAGTTTAAACCGAGTCTGAACTAATTCCTCCATGATCGGAAGTGTCTACTCGTAAAGAGTGAATGTATCCATGATATCACAAGACAAGTAGACCGACATTGTAAGTTAGAACTTATAGAAGATTAGACAAAACAAGTGAATTAAAGTTACTTTATTTATCAACTGAAAGTATTTACACACTTCATTAGTACTGACATTAGAATCTTAATTTTAAATTGCTTTTTCTTAGAAATTCCAGGAAAAACAATAACAACGTTACAGTTTAATTTCTTTTACCATCTGTTAGTAACTACTAAGGTAAAATAAATGTTACTTAAATTATGAGCAAATATTGCACAAATCAAACGAATAACAATTATTACATCGTGTCTGTTCCCGTACGGTAAATGATTTGTTTCAAGGTAGTTTGTATTTGAATTACACAACACACATGCATGTCGTTTATTCAATTTTTATTTTTAAATAATTATTGTTTAATTTGATCAATTTATCAAAATTAATTTTTGTTCAATATAATCAATAAATTATTCGAGTTTTATAATTATTGTTTAATTTAATCAATAAATTATTCGAATTTCTACTATAATTAATTATTCTTTAATTTAATCAATAAATTATTCGAGTTTTTATTATAATAAATTATTCTTTAATTTAATCAATAAATTATTTGATTTTTTTAATTATAATTAATTATTCTTTTATTTAAGCAATTTAATTAATAATTACTGTATACGAGATTTAAAGACACAAGACTTGGTTAACAAGTAATATCCACCCAATGAAACCGAAAAACAAAGAACATAGATACTAGTGCATAAAGACCAGTACAAGCGCGGGTAACGCAGATTAACACTGGATAGCAAACACCCGGCTCCGTGACAATGTCACATCGGTACGGTACTCTGTACCGAACATTCTAAAATATATATCATACCAGTAATCGACAAGAGATAAACATACAACCAAATGGTGTTACTATAATATATCCATGACGAAAAATAAAATCAGGAGAATTATACAATTTATAAAGCAAAATTCAATTAATTAAAGAAAAAAAATGCAATGAAAGATGTAAATCAAAAAGTAGTATAGCACAACACAAAGTGATCGAAATAACGAGGCGTGATGTATGTGTATCCCTGTGTTACCTAAACTCTTGTTGGTCCTTAAATCAAATGTATAAATAAGATTCTTTCAATAACAAATAATCATAAAATCAGCTATCAGAGATGGATACTAGTTGATAGGCTTCTTTTGTTTTACATCACACAAAAATTAAAGCTCCTGAGAAATTGTATCAATATGTTTGTTTATAGGCACTAGTTACCGTTAAGGTATTAAGTATGACTGGCTTAAGTCAACTGTACATTTGGAGTTACGAGACTTGTATTAGTGAGGTTTCGTCACGCGTTGAACGTTGAACACGCAGCTGACGTCATCATACATACGTATTTTCAATCAATTATGCTATTCTGGCCATATTGCGCTAATATAAAAGACTGGTACAGTAAACAGTTTTATCTGTTTCCATATGTAACTATAACTGTCATTCAAAACAAAGAGTATTGGTTTAATCTATTGAACGTATGAGAGACGTCTATTGTGAAATTTCAAGTTAGTGAAATTGGATGATATCTATTTTTGTGTTTACAGTCCCACAAGCTAAATAACAATATTACAAGAATCGGACGGCGTCTCTGTTGGGAGTACGAGTGATATTCTTAACCATATCCAATATTACTCTATGATTGTCTATGCTGTCAAGCAAAACGAGCATCGCGCTTCTCGAGATTACGCGTGGTGGGCCTACGCAACACCCAGTTATGTGTACATGTTGTTATAGTTACGAACGCGTGACGAAACCACAATCCAATCAAAGTTTGTCTTCACTACTATTCACTTATCCTATGTATAAATTTCAGCAAATAATTTCAAAGAAAAAGGCAAATATTCATTAAAAAAAATCTGGAAGAAGTTTAAACTGTCTGCGTCTTCAACTCCCAACGTCTTAAAACTCAAAATGGTAAACCTATTATAGTAATTCCATAGGGAAATAAATAAAACATGACACTTGCTGTAAATTAATAAAATATTATATAAATCGTCTGATAAATTACACCATTATTTATTTTAAATATAATCCATTTATAAAACAATATTCATCAATTAAAACAATCATTTTTAAACATAAATAAAAATTATTGATTATACCTGTACTGTAATTACTAAAATGATAAGTAACAAAAGGTAAATAATATAGTTCTGTCCAACGTGACATGCCTATGACATTTGAAAAAAAATTACTTCATCCACTAGGACCATAAATAGTGCCTTTAATGCAGAATGTTATATCAAGAAAGCCCTTCAGAATCTAGGTCACCCCACCACTAATTCATATACCACCCACCTTTCGACTCCTGTGCATGTCCCCAGTTTATAGACCATTGTATCACAATGATCTCCAAACCAACCACCATTACACAAAATTTCACCCACCAACCTGCTCCACCCTGACTACCGGAACTTATCAGCTAACACGACCCTTATATTCCCAAGGAGCATCCTGTGCCCAGTCTTTGTACCAGCTGGTGAAAAGTTTACATTAGCTAACCACTTTTACCTACAAAACTTTTCTGTTAGCTCTGTTAGCTAATACCTACGTGCTAACTCACTATCTAAAGTTGTATGCATAGAAAATTTATGGACAAGTAGCAACAATTTATGTTGCATGCGTCAAGGCAAGCCACTAAATAACGGAACGTTTTCAGGATCAAAACAGCGCAAGTGCGTGTAGCATCCTCTACAACATAGCGCAAGTGTGTGTAGCATCCTCTGCAATACAACGTACCGTAAACCCGTGTAAAATAGTTGCAACAGTAAGCGAAATCTACCAAAATCCATCTCCACCGTACTCTCTAAATATCACCTCAGTAGACAACTTTCTATTTATTGGAAGAATGCAGCAATCAGATAAAACCTATCTCTACTTTCCCCCTGAGCGACAAAATATAATAATAAGATGTTTATATTTCTCATTAAACGTCGTTTTTGAATGTTAATTTTGGGTTGTACTGATCTGGTAATGGTTCTTGATTTCTCGCATCCAACGCCATAGCAACCGATTTGATGTATAAACTGACCATTTCTCTCATGTCCTCTGTAAATGGATCAAAATCTAATTGTTTACCCTTTGGTGCTGGTGGTCTTTTAAATTTACCGACTGGATCGCTTGCAACACACAATAATCGACTTTCATTTACAGGTAGCTTGAGAAATTGCACAATCTTCTTTAATTCACCATAAATATCAGTCTTCAAATGTTCGTAATGTACAACATGTATGTTCGGCTGATGTAGCAGCCAATTAAGGGCAGTATTCGTCCACGTTCGGGATTTACCTAAAACAAAATCCGTCCATTCTGGAAAAAATAAATATCAACAGATTTATAAAACACATAATGCAACAAAATGAAGTGTTGACCATTAAGTTTCAAATTATAGACGGTTACTGTTGGTGCAAGTAAACATACCCGTGCCCTGTTTGTACTGCATTGGATTTGCGTGCCCAGTATGACCACCAAATTTTCTATTATGCTCAGATAACATGGCGTCATATGGATTACGAATGATGACGATTCCGCCATCAAACTCTCGTATATGTTCCTCATCGAATCGGTGAGTTTTCACCACCACTGTATTTCCTTTCTTATAAGGCTCTCGCTCACCTAAAAACCCTAAAAGAGAGAGGTTGTTTTGATAAATTACATAATTCATCAGCATAATCGTCATCATAATCATCATCTTCTTTATTATCACCATCTTCACAATTATTATCATCATTATTATCATTATCATCGTTACTGTTACTACCATTACCATACGAATTATTTTAATCCTCATCATCTATCATGAATATCGTCATCATCACTACCTCCCATATCATTATGATGCATCATCACCACAATCATCGCCATCATCCTTCACCATCAATAAGACTCTATATTAATTTACCTTTTTTAGAGAGTTCACCATCGTTATAATAGCTACCGGTGTATATACCAGTGACCCTTTCTATAAGGTAACGAACCCATGTGTTTCCTGAACCAGGAAAACTAGCCAATGAAATTAAGGGCATTGATCCAGGTGGACGTAGTGACATTGTGTCGCAACTGGTATCTGGGAAAAGAAAATCACAGAGGTGGTTAATGAAGCTTCCTGATAACATGAAAGACAGTGAAAGACAATGCTCTTTAATTTTCCTGATGAGAATGAGAATGGATGCTACTTAAGGGTCATCATCAAATCAGAATTCATCAATTCGAGGCTACTTCTTTCGTATGAATTCTGTGAAAATCGACATTAGATGGGCATTATGGACACTCAACGCCATTCCATGGTATCTTCGTCGAGGTGTTGGCGTTCTTGTTCACCGTTGGGTGGTCTGAAGTCAGGGCAATAATAGATGATCTGGTCCACTGTTTGTTGTCTGCCACATTTTACATACATTAGTTCCGATCTGATGGAGGAAAGAGGCACAGCGGCCCCAGCCAGATCCGAGGCAGTTAAGTCTGACCGAAGCCTCACGAGAAAGATCCCGGAAAGAGGGGGGGGGGGGGTTCACGATGGATTTTCTATGAAATTATGAAGTTTTCAGACTACTGAATATTACTGTAAAATGCTCTGATTCACCACGTGGCAGCAATTTTGAAAGATAGTCTCAATACATCAGTCCTTTTCTGAACTATTCAGGTGGCGTACCACAAGATTTTATACTATTGTTTATCCCCCTTGCAAAAAATTCTGTACTTAATTTCGGGACCCTTAAAAAATGGTATCACCACACTAAAAACAAAACATATTTCTTATTCAAATTTTATTGGAAATCACATACCCCTTGATTCCGTCTGGTAAATTGACAGTGTATCTTGACCACCGCAAAACTGGTCAACTTTACCAGGACAAGGTGTGTCGCACAATTGAGGTTTTACTTTCCCGTCACTTAAGTTCACCGATTCACTGAGATACCCACAGTGACATTCAATTCCCCGGGAAACTGCAGCAATCGGTCGCCCCTGTACAAGACGACAAACAATTCATAAATTAAAAAAAATCGGTTATTTTGGTGGCTGCAGAGAAAGTTGAGAAATTGTAGGAAAATACGTTGCGTCACTGGAAAATTTACAGTTACTCAAAAGTCAACATTATGCAATTCTGAATACATCGTCTGCACCTCATGTATAGCTCATTATAATTCAAGCTCGCTGTATAAAGTTACAAACTGCATAAATTTGATTGATCGTTAGTCTTGCAGTGCATCATGTTCCCAGTAATTGCTTCCTCACATGCATACTTTGCGGAACAAAATATTGATTTCAGAACAGACCTAGCATTAATAACAAATAAAATTTTCATTTGGAATAGGAAAATTTTTGTGGGAATAGGTATTCAATATGGCGGTTCACTCACCTTTTCTGTACAGAAATCTTTGCATATCTGGACTGTCATCTCATTGTTTTCCATCGTTTGCTCATCTCGTAGGAAAAACTCTCCGGTTGGTCTTGTCATGCATATCATAAAGTCGTCTGCTAAGCCAGGCGATGATGTTGATGCTGTGAACGATCATGCGTAAAATAATATTTATATGAACATCAAGTAATAGAAATTTAAATATTCTTTATTTAGGATAAATGCATAGTGTTGATAAGATCCCTGGCTACGTTAGTCGAAGCCTTCTGTGGTTTCTCTAGAAATGTCACGTGCAAATACGGTAATTATTCACTGAAACATATGACAACTTCATTTTCGGTCTATTTAGGAAAATCAGCAGCATGTTGCATGTGTATTACGTTTATAATTATTAATCTAATCAATAGGGTATGATAGATCGTAGCTAATGATCAGTCATTAGAAGCAATATAATTATTTTAATAACATTGGACAACTGATAATGAATATTTATCAGAAAACGACGCCATATGGATGCCTAATACCTGATCATAAATTTTGATTCTAAACTTATTTCGATAATGCTGGATGTACGATGTTGCATAAAAATGTCAATTAGGTGTGATCCCACACATAACCATTAGTATTATCCCTAATTCATATTCATAACTCATAAATTCATAATTATTATTGATTAAGTTATGATTGATTACCATTAGCTGAATTAATTGTTTTTCCTGCACACTCAGAATAATATGCAAAGTGCCATAAACATAATCAGTGGTGGCCGATGCCCCGACGAGGGGTCAGATTTCCCCGACGAAAGAAAAGTGGGCGTGGTCGAGCTTCGACTAAAAGATCTCGAAAGTGGTCCTGGGGGAAAAGCCCCTTGAAAATTTTGACAATTTAGGGTTTTCAAAGGCTTATTTAATCGATTTTAGAGTATACTAATAGGCCTATGTAGAAAATACATGTAATTTGTTTTTCTCCCCGACGAATTGTGCTTTTCTGCCCGACGGAGAGCCATGTGTATAAGAGACAGATTTTAATCCTCATCATCTATCATGAATATCGTCATCATCACTACCTCCCATATCATTATGATGCATCCCTGAACATAATTAGCCATGCTTCAATCGCGAAACCAATGCTATATCATTCTACATGTCTAAAAACGATGCACTTCTACATACCCACCAAAAACACCAGACACTCCATCCCTACCCCCAAACACACAGACATATGTTTTATTATTTAATGACTGGCAACCTACTCATGTTACTATTTCCAGCTGTATCTATATCGCTGTGGAAGCATTTTATTTCATCGCCTAACATTACATATAGTATCGGTTTACACAGTAATTTCATATTTCAACATGAGTGTTTCAGTTCAGAAGCAATGCGTCGATCGATATTATTCGACTTGACCGCGAATCAAATTTGACATGCAAACAACTCTAGCGTGTTATTTAGCCTAGTGAACGCTCAATACTGGTCGACATCGCTCGCATATCTATACTAGAAAGTACAGGTAGGCCTACCTAGACACTACAAACAAACGGGATTGGGAATAAATACGTACATACCTGGCGTGTTGTTTTATTTATCATATTCGACTAATACGACTCCTAATTTACTTACCATGTGTTTGCATCAGGTATATAAAATGGGATCAATTTATTACGGATGTAAACATTTATGGACAGGAAATCAATGAAAGTACAGCAACTGATGGGAACCTATATAGTTCTATATCTACACTACAATTTTTTAAATTTTTTATAGGTAATAGAGCTGGTTATTTTAGAAAACTACGTGCCCCAAACGACAGATACATAATTATGTTATTGAATTTTTACCATACCCCTTCTTTATATAACACAATGACACTGTCAGTCAACAGTCGGAGGCCCGGCTATTAAGATACCGACGCATGCTGAGGACGACAGTGATGATAATGGTGATAATGATGACAGTGATGATGAAAGACAAGATAACAGTGATGATGATAACAATGATGGGGACGATGAGTGATGAGAATGATGATGGTGACAATGATGGGGACGATGATCATAACAGGGATGAAGATGATGATAATGATGATGGTTATGATGAAGATGTTGACTAGGAGTAGAGGCCGGATTAAAGCTTCAAATGTATTTACGCGTACGCCAACAGCACATACTCTGATATGACATAAATCGTGCGCGCTACAACACAGCTAATCACAATATGATGACCTCTTTATGCAGACGTTTCCATAGCAATATTATAATTACAAATACGGGCTCTATTATAACGTGACAAATTTGTGACTGTCATTCTAAGGTATTAGACGTTGGTCGGTGTGAAAAGTAATGGAAGTCTGTACGAGCCGATATTTCCAAATTATAGTTATTGTAGACAATGCTAACGAGTTCACACGGCAGGCTAGGGAATCGAACGATCAAGTTCAGATATGACACTACGGCGAAAAAGTCAATTTGCTGGCTATGTGAAATGTGATTTGCATGATTATCGCTGGCCTTGGATGAATGCAAAACAATTTAGTAGACTGCCATAACAAAGAACATATTCATTATCAAATAAGTATTGGAAAACATATCAGTACA